AAGTGATCATTTATAAGACTTTAAAACAGGTACTTAAATAAAATCACTTTTTTTTTTAATTGTCTCTCATAACCTGATGTCCCTTTCCTGGTTGTTTGCCTGATCTGGTCCATGTCAGAGGGGAAGTGAAAGATGACTAGGAGGCAGCATTAAAACTCTTAGAAAGAGTGGTTCTTTGGGCTAACCTCACCTGGATTTCATTCTTAGTTTCATGCTTTCTGTTCTGTAGTCTATGTCTAGCTTCTCAAAATATTGGACTAGATCAGATTGTTAGGAATTTTTTCAGACAACAGTTACACAGCTTTTAAGGAAAAGATAAAGCAAAATCAACAAGAGCAAAAATCAATTCCGTTGGTCTTGTTTTTTCTTTTAACCAAGAAGCATAATTTTTTGTTATAGCACGTTGTACTGAAGATAATAGATGAAAACTAAATGGTCTGTAAAATAAGTTTAGTTTTGCCAGAAGACTGCATATAAGTGTGTTTACTAGAAGATTTTCCATGATTGTGACTGCAAAGCTTTAGAGAAGAATTAAAACTGTAGATGAAAAAAGATTTAGAACAGCCATGGTTGGAATTTTTGTTAGTGTCTAGCACCTGACAGGATAATTAGCTATTTTTGAACATGTTAAGATAACAATCATGACTTGATAGCATTGCATAAGGACAATCAGAATTTTATATAATTTAGAATTTTAAGAATATGTCCATCAATAACATTTGTCCCCATAAATCGAATAGTAACAGTATTTCATTTAACCAGAAATATCAATGCTCTTTAAGCAGAGCTATAAAGTAATAGCTTAAAAGACTTTACAACAGGTACTTAAATAAAATCATTTTTTAAAGACATTTTGTTTTTAAGTAATCAAGAACCTGGATGTGATGGTCATCATTAATCTAGGTAAGTAAGAAAACTTGTAAGAAAACACAAAGGATGTGACTCTACTTTGTGTACTTCCAGAGATATGAAAAATTGTGCTCTATTTGTGTAATATAAATTGTAATGCATTCTGTTGTCATATATAACAAATCAAAATTTTAAAACAAAGTTAAAAGAAAAAAGAACCTAACTGGACACACACCTATAATTTCTGCAACTCTGGAAACTTAGGAGGATTGCAAGTTCTAGGCCAGCCTCAGCAACTTAGAAAGACTCTAATTTACAGTGAAAAAGTTGAAAAAGGATTAGGTATGTAACTCAGAACAGTCCTGTATTCCACCCCCAGTACTGTCAAAAGTGAATTTATAAGATGAAAAAAATAATAATAAACGACAGCAAAAATCAAAAGAGATTCAAAAGAACCCACGAAAGAGCTCAGAAGAACCCCAAATTAATAAGAAAGAAAGTGTGAGGTCCAACATTTACAACTGAGAAGAACTTTCTAGGGAGCAAACTTTTCAGCCTATGGCTTCCAAAATATTTGCTTGTCTGATCCATCCAAAAAGTAGTACAAACATTCAATACAGACTCATAATGGAAAGAAAGCAATGCCCAAACACCAAAATCAAATTCAGCAGCTGCACTGGACCTTCTTTTCTGTCCTCAACCAGGTCTGACTAGCTGCAGCTCACTGCTGTTATGCACCACATCCAACCTAGAGAGAAGCAAAACTTATGTCACTAGAAGGCACTGTCTTGGCTGGCTCACCAGTCCTCTTACTGTAGTCCTGGGCCAGAGGCCAGACTCTTGGGGTCTTCAATGATTAGGTCTGGCTACTTGTTCTTAGAGAGCACATTTGGAGGAAGAGAGGGGGTAGCGGGAGAGAGGGAGGGAGGAAGAGAGAATGAGAGAGAGATGATAATGAAGCAGGGAAGGAATTTATTTTGTTTTGGCCAGACTATGAAGACAGCTGGTCTAGAAAATTGTCTTTCTTGTACTAACAACAGCTTCAGGATTATAGAGGCAAAGAACAAATTGGGGAGCCCAGAGTTATGCATATGCATAACAATTTCAGTTGGTCTGGTTCTGCTGGGTCCTGCTGGACTCCTCATAGCACCACAGGTTGGGGGACAGTTTGCATTCAATTTCCATTCCCAGCATGAGTTAACTGCCTGTAGGAAGTTGTGATAGAGAAATAAGAAAATGAAGTCACTCCAAACAATGACTAGATCTTCCTTTAAATCCTCCAATTTTGAAGATGTCCCTGTATACCTCTACTTTCATGAAAGTTTTCATAGAGGAAACTATGTCCAGCATATTTATTTTCTCCTGTATATCAGTTCTACATTTATAAATTCCATTTTTAAATAGAGACTTAACAAGTCTAACAATTGACTAATTGCAAATAGAAATTTATATGTGGCATTGAACAAATTGTATATCATAGTTGTCCATCATACCTAATACTCTGAGTTGTATTAGTTAAGGCTCTATTGTTCAATCTATTTTTTTAAATATAAAAACAAAGTATTCATGGGCCAATGAACATTATTTCACTTGAAATCCTGCTAATATTTAAAAACCATAGTGGCAAGATTTTAATTAGGACCATTATCAGTTATTGTCAAGATACCCAAAATACATATCTGATTTTTGAAAATTCTTTTATCTTAAAGCAAGTACAGCTTGTTCTCCTTGCCTTAAGATTTTAATAAGATGCTGACAAATGTTTAACTATTTTTAACATAATTAATAGTAGGTTATTTTGGATTTGTCAATCTATTTTGCAGTTTGCCTTTAGTTTTCTATCCTTCTTATAATTGGGCATAACAGAATAGGTTAAAATATATGAATAAGGCTGGGTGTGGTGGCACACACCTGTAATCCCAGTGGCTTGAGATGCTGAGACAGAAGGATCACGAGTTCAAAGCCAGCCTTAGTAATGGGGAGGCGCTAAGTAAATCAGTGAGATCAATGAGACCCTGCCTCTAAATAAAATACAAAAAAATAGGGCTGGGAATGTGGCTCAGTGGTTGAGTGTCCCTGAGTTCAATCCCTGGTACCAAACACACACACACACACACACACACACACACACACACACACACACAAACACACACACACATGGATAAGGACTAAATTGTACTAAGTTTGGGGACTTTTCTGTTGGCCAATGCCCTACATGGAAAAAAACAAAAGACACAGAGATGAATGTTGTAAAATAGAAGGGAAAGTTTAGATGATAGTGAATAGTAAGTCACTGTTTACATTATAGAGCAACTTCTACTTTTCCTAATCTGAGTTTCACTTTCAATGGAATGTGCTTTTCTCTTATTTTTCTTTATAATAATCATCACCCATCCAGCTCCATTTTCCTTAATCCTTGTAATAACCAACAATATGTCTTTCACAGAGGAAAAAATGAGGAAGTATTTATATAAAAATTAATTGCACATAAAGGATTCCACTTTTCATCAACTTCTGCCTGGGACATTCTAGCATAACTACTTGGATTTGTTTAAGAGGTCTCAACTGTTTTTCACCTTTGGGTGTTTTGTTTTTTTTTTTTTTTCATTTGTTTATTCATTCAATGAACATTCAAATAGTATCTACTACATATTGTTTTGAGCATTCAAGATACAATTATGACGAAAAGACAGGTCTCATTTAATATTCCTTTTGAATAAATGTCAAGTAGTTTTAGAATAATAAACGATAGTTTTAGGTAAGTATAAGTGCTCTGAAATAAATAAAATCAGGTCACAAGATTGGGAAAAAAAGAAAAGATTTGTTTAAGGGAAGGGGAATTTGGATACAGTGACGGTAAACTCTCCTTGTCTTTCCTGTGATGAGAAGGAATCCTTGGGGATCCTTGAAGTGAGGGCTCTCTAGACCTGACCACGTGTTCAGCAGCATCTCTCTTCACCGGGCCAACTGCTCCATAACTCAGGACTGAGTGCACAGATCAGTTCTCTGGGAACACTTTCCTGACTAAAAAAAAGACGGCAGGAATTCTCTAATTTCTGGTTAGTCTTAATTTAGCACCCAATACCAGTGAATTTCAATTCCGTGTCTTTGTCTGTCATTCCATTAGATATTTGGAAAATAACACTAAGCTTAAAGTCTATCTCAAATTTTATGGCAAACCTTGATGATGACATTTTTCTTTTATATAAACATAATTTTTCCTTTTTTATAAAATTGCAAATAAAGGATTTCCTAATCTGTTGCCGAGGTTTTAGGGAGAGAAGATATTAAAAAGGAGGAAGACATAGGGAAGGAAAAAAGAAGAGGAAAAGGGTGGGGAGGGGAGAGAAAAGAAGAATTTGCATAGCCAAGAATAATTAGTTTCTAGGCACTTTCCAAAGATTTAGAGACAAATAAAGCTTTGGTTCAAAAAACTGACGCAAATACTTATGGAACTTTATGTTATCATTTTATGCATATCTATACTTAGATTAAACCCAAGCAATCTTAGAAGTTATCACACTACTGTTACCTTGCAATAGAGCACCTAATATAGAATAGAGTTCATTCCTAGGTTTATCTTGAAGTATAATCTTATTATGTATTAATTACATCATCAGCATTCAGTTTTTAGAGCACTTTTGTTTTATAGAAGAAATAAATATCTTTTGAAGCAAGCTTGTGTGGCAGATTGATGCCTGTACTTTTTATGTCTAAAAATGTATGTAAATACTAGTGTGTGCTTTTTGTTATTCTTACTTGCATTGTTTCTACTCTACATAAATATTTTCATTTGTCCTTGCTGAATCAGATCTTTAACAAAAATAATTCAAAATCCTAATGCCTTTTTCCTTAACCCTCCATGGTGTAGGTTCCATGGAACACCCTAGAACTCATGGTAAGAATCTGCTGTTAATGTATAGATATCCAAACCCTCAGAATGAAACCTTGAAATTTAGTATACACAAAGTATGTACTTATTTAAAAGAACTATCTTATAAATTTTCTGGAAATAAGAAATTCAAACCTAGGATTTCACTTTAAATGCATTCTAATTTTTTTTAAGACAACCATATTGCTGAATTTTAAATTACAATTTTTATTCATTCTCACCTACCTATTCAGAAAGGGTAGGAGATTTTGCTACTTACCAGTTCCTTAGCAAAGCCTCTTCTTGGATAACAAAAATTAGTTCAAACTCGACATGTCCAGAAAGTAAAACTTTGATTTCTTCTTTGAAAACTCTTTCTCTCCAGACTCCCCCATCCTTTCTTCTAGTTGCTATATCCCCAAAACTTGGCATTATCTTGACTTGTTAGCTTTGACTAGTGCAGTCTACCTAAACTGAACCGCCTTTTCCCACTCTTGTCCTCATAGCACTCAGCACAAAGAGGTAGGAGGAGGTATTTAAAATCATGAATCAGATCATGTCACTCAAATCTTTCCAAGATTTTCCTGTCTCACTCAAATTAAAAGCAAAGGAATTTTCCATGGCACATAGAACTCTACATAAACTGACCCCAATACATCTCTGTTGAGAGCCACAGCCAGTCGGAATGGCCCCTGGCATTTTGCCAGAAGTAATGGTTGAGAGGTGATGCCAGTGAGCCATTAAGATGATGATAATTAAGTTAAGCTGTGTATAATTGCTGTGACTGGATGATGCTGGATTGAAACAGGATGTGTATTCAGTTGTGTATTAGACCCCTGCTGTCCAGCAATAGGGCAGCTCCTGCTGCCTTGGGCGGGCGCTTGCTACTTTTGAGTTCTCCGGGAGCTCCCAGAGTTCCCGTTGAGTTCTGGTTGAGCTCTCATGGGGATTCCTTTAGAGTTCCTGTTGGTTGGTGAAGTTCCGGTGGAGGGAGTTCCGATTGGTGTGTGGTGTGCCTGGAAGGGCCATCTGGGTGGCGTTCGCATGAGTTCGGAAATAAAGTTTGTTCCTGCTTGAGTGGCTGGTGATTTGTGCCCAGCCAGACTGCGACACATCTCTCTTAACCTGTTTCTTCTTCCTCTCCCTGTTACTGCATTCATCTCATCCAATTTGGGGCCACAGGTATTAGTTAAGCATGACAAGTGACCCTTTCCTTCAGCTTTAGTGTACATTATTTATTTTTCACTTTGTGGTTTTCTTTCAGATATCAAATAGTTTTCTCTGTAACGAATTTGGTCTCTTTCAGAGCTGTCCTTTTCAGAATGAATTTTCATACCTACCCTTTCTAGTATACCTGTTCATTCTTTGTACTCAGAATATTGCCCATTCTCTGTTTCCTTACCCTATATTGTTTTTCTGTCTGATTTTTCTGTCATGTTATTATTATTTTTAGTGATAAGCTCCACCACTGGAATATAAGCTCTGTGAAATTAAACATTTTGTTCACTGTTGTAAATACTTTGTGTTGACCCAGGCAAATGAGACTTCTTTGTTCCCTGTCTGTTTGAGGCCCTGCAATTTATAGGCATACATGACATAATTTATTTAAAATAAGATGGTCACCTGCTGGAGAGAATTTTCCATGATCTCTTGCATTGCTGTATGGTTTTTGAGGAAACATTGACAACTTGTGTCCTGAACTATCAAAGATCAATTTCATAGTGAGTAGCTGTGAAAGACAGAGATAACATATTACTCTAGAGACTTGGTTTATAGTCAGGATAATAATAATAATTTCCTCTCCAGGGCAAATATTGGACAGATTTTACAACATCGTCTAAGAACGGGAGTTTTGAAAATTTGTGACTGTATCTGTGACCAAACAAATCATCTCCTCCTCATTTTTATGGAATGAATGGCTATCAAATCTGCTGTTGTGTTAGTCAGATTTTTGCACTGTAACCCAAATACCTAACAAGAATAAAACAGAGGAGGAAGAGTTTATTTGGGGCCCACAGTTTCTGAAGTTTCAGTCTATGGTAGGTCAGTTCTACTGCTCTGGGCTTGAGGTGAGGCAGAGCAACATTCCAGAAGAGCATGGCACAGGAAAGCAACTAAGGAAGTGGTATCCAGGAAGGAGAGAGAGAGAGAGAGAGAGAGAGAGAGAGAGAGTAGGAAGGAGCCACAGGGAAGAAGAATGCTTCTGGGACATGCCTACAATGACCCAACTCCTCCAGCAAGCTCAACCTGCCTACAGTTATTCAGCCTATTAGCCCACTCAAAGTAGGATGGACCATTTAGGATATAGTTATCATGATCTAATCATTTCACCTCTGAATTTTCCTGCATTAACAGGAGTTTTGGGGGGAGAGACTGTGAATATCTAAACTATAACATCTATGTTCTGAAAATTTATGCCATCTTTCAAATTCATTTGATAAAATTTTCATCTCTAAGGTTATGAGATTAGAAGGCTGGAACCTTGGGACATGGTTGAGTCATAAGTGTAGGCCCTTGGGAAGTCATTACATCATGAGGGTCTGGGGTTGGTACTCTATCAAAGATGCTCAAGAAAAACTCCTTCCTCCTTCCACTATGGGAACCACTCCTGAGCTATTTAGTGGCTTTACTTGGCCTTGAGCCAAGGAGATCATGGTTTGGCTTTGCAAGTTATTTTGTGGTGCCTCCCACCTAATGGATTACACAATGCACGTGACCTCAGTCTTTGCTCAACTAGGGAGACTGCTCTGGTAGCTCCGGAACTGGGTGTAACCCATTGGGCCTGGACAGCCACCTCCTACCTTATTTGGCAAAAGAACAGTCTGTAAAAAACCTTTGATGTTTCTCCCATATAAATAAACCAGATGTGGGCTCTCACTCTCTCTCTTTCCAGTGTGGAAGCTTGACCCCTAAGGTCGAAGAGTAATCCCATCTCCACTTTCTAAAATTACTTTCTGTTGTAGTGTGGTTTTCTCACCGCATTCTTTTCTTAGCTTTATTTTGCAGCCAACTCACTCCACACAGCAGAGTAAACCCAAATTCCACTGCCTGCTGGGGATGTGGGCGAGATTCCGCCTTGTGAGGACATGCAGAGAAGGTCCTATCTATGAACCAAGAATTAGCGCCTCACAAGGCAGCAAATTGGAAAGCACCTTCATCTTGAACTTCCCAGCCTCTAGAATTTTAAGATGTATTTATGTCATTCTGTTATAGGAGAATTCTGTTATAGGAGCCTGAACTAAGACAAAAACTCATGCTGTTTGTTATGCCATAACTAATAAAATCCTGTGTCTCTGATCCAGGTATCTTCTGTCTTCTCTAAGCAGCTACATAACTGTGAAAGACTAATTTACTTATTTAAGGAGGATAAAATCTCATGTCCTCAGTATTCTGTTATGACATTGCATAATCCCTAGTCCTCAATTTATGCTCTCATAATGACACATATTAGGACACAGAAAAATACTTCTCCATATATCTTGCCCCCTGTCCTTCATGGAAAGGCAACTGCATTAAAATGCTGTGACAGTGTGTGGGCTGTATTACTCCTTTATCAGAATAGATGCTGCTTTGAAATATAGGGGAAATTTAAGTGATGAAAACCAGTTGGTAGATAAAGATCCAATTAGTTATGTCATAAAAATCTACCTGTTAGATAACATGATTATGTTTTATACAAAAATGAAATGTCATTTTGCAGTTGTTCTATTTATTCTTTTTTGTCTTCTAATTTACAGTTGTAGAAGTTTTCAAGAATTAATGTGATGCAATCAGTAGTTGTGCATTGTGTCTGTAGAAATATTTTGTAATATTAAATAGTTAATAGTACTCTTTAAGTGGAACATATAGAGTTTCAGATGTAACATCCAGGAAAAATTGATATATTATACACTACATTGGTTTTTAGATCTATATGTTGCTACAAGGCAATAAAAATTTGATGAACAAGTTATACTAGTTTATATGATAAAATTTACATTTTTGTAACATATGCTGTGGTAAAAATATCTAGTTTATTCAACCCCATTTCAATGTTTAAATGAATTCTACTGTCATGTAAAACTGAAAAAGAATAAATAAAAAACAAGCATGTAAAATTTATGAATCATTCCAGGTTTTAAGAATTTTATTCATAAATTTAGTTAACTCTGCTTGAGAGTGCAAACTTTGTATAAATTAACATTAACAAAGAATTGTCAAAGAACTATATATATTCAAAAAAGTCATTTAATTTGGCATTATTATCAACAGGACATTAATTTCGTTGAAATCTTGATAACAATACAATTATTGTTTTGTTATAATGGAGAAAAGAAAATGAATGTTGTGCAGAAAGTGTATAATAATTTATGAATTAGTGCTCCATAAATCAAACTATAATGGCTCAACCCCAAAGCACCAAACATCTGTGGTAATAATTAAGTTCAATCATCTTTTACACTTAGCTTATGTTTAGATATATAAAACCACAATTCATTATGCATTTTTGACTTTTATTATAAAAATATAAGTTAAAGAATTTATAACTTTGAACACTTGGAAATTTAGAATCTGGGTGTCCATTTTTACTCCTAGGCCCTAGATATGATGTTTATTAAGAATGAAACTAATCATTGTAATGTTTTGAGCAACTAATAAAAAAAATAAAAAATAAAAAAAGAATGAAACTAAATGATTTTCCCAAGCATCCAGCATATTGTAGGTATTCACTGTATAATTGTAAAAATTATTCATTAGCTCTAATAAATTTAATAATGCAAATACATATTACTTAGTACACACTATATTTCTAAGTGATATTAGGAAATAAAAATTATATGTTAATAATTCCAAAAATGTAGTACCTTGTGAATTACTATTTTTCACCTGTGCAGTAATTGTCTTTAGACATTCTTGTAAAATTTGTTTTTCAAAAAATGTCTTACATTATTTGGAAGCTACCCCAAATCATTTGTCCTAATAAAGCTATACTTTATCAATATGTAATATATCTTCAGTTTTTTCTTTTTTTCTTGAAATACTCATATGACCTATAGAATGATTCTTTTTTATATGTTGTCTTTCATGTTATTTTTAATTGTCACATAATATTTGTACATATTTATGGGGTTCAGGATAATGTAATGTATAAGCATCAAATTAGGGCTATTAACATTTTCAATTCCTCAAATAATTATTATTTCCATATTCGGAACAACATAACAAAAATAAAAAATCTGATTAAAAATGTGCAAATCATCTAAATAGATGACATAAAGAAGACCAGTGAGTCCAGGCAAGATTTTAAATGTCTCTGATCATCAGGAAAATGCAAATCAAAACCACTATTAGATATCATCTCACTAATGCTAGAATGTCTATTATGAAAAAAATAAAACATAACAAACTCTGGCAAAGATGTGGAGAAAGGAGAACATTTCCAACACTGTTGGTGGGAGTATAAATTAGTTTAACCATTACGGAGAACAGCATGGAGAGTCCTTAAAAATAAA